ACCATGCTGAAGAGATCAGCCAATTCACAGCAAAAGTAAAAAAAACGTAAGTCATATGACAAAAGGGGGGAAAGGCCTTCTCAACACTGCAACAGGATAAATCTCTGGGTAGATTGTTCGAAAAATACATAATTTATGGTCACTCTCATTACTTTCAAAACATAATTTGTTAGTCTGTATTTTATTTTAATAACTAATTTTAAAATCCATTACCTGTGCCTATTCTTTACCTGTGCGCTGAGAGAGGCCATCCATGCCTCAGGCTAGTGGCCACATTGCTCTGTTAATATTCAACATGTCTGCAATCTGGACTGTAAGTGCAGCAAAGAAGTGAGAACGAGAAACATCTGCTCCTCATACCCGTTTCATTTAATCACTTTACTGCCTGAGGCCAGGGGCTCCCTGCTTGTAGGAGTTTGTAATCTCCAATGGCTACATGAGTGCGTTGCAATATAAAAAAATAATTTATGACTCATGTCAGGGAAGATATTGAATTAAATATGGATTGTGGAGTCTAATCTCACATAGAGTGGCATGTGGAAGGTTTAGGTTATGTGGAGCAGAAACCTCCCTAGTTCCCAATCCTTTGTCTGCAGTTTCAGTGCAGGCTGCAGACCAGTGGAATGTACACAGACCAATGTTAACTCTTCTCTAGGCTTCTTATGACAGCTCTCAAAGCACAGGGAACAAAACAGTAGTGGTAATATTTAAATAGTTGTTTGGAAGCCATAAATATATTAGAAGCGCTACTGTACTTTATATGTACAGCTAACCTTCAATTTGCCAATTGAGGGCAAAGTAACAAATTTGTTGGATAATCTATCCAATCTGCTGCTGCCATTGGCCTTCCATACGCATTTTAGCGCCCCCTCCAAATCCCAGTGCAAGTCTCTGGTCAGCGCATACACAGTTAGTTAAAAGGCCTCTGCTCACATGACTGAGCTGGAGCCTACATACAGGCCTCTCAGGCACCCAGTGTTACATCAAGATAAGCTGGGCAGAGGGACACATGCACCCCATACCTAGAAATATTGGGTATTAAACATGGCTCTGCTCCACTGCACATCCGTCTGCTTAATTTGCCCACCAGACAGGCTATTCAACAAACCTGTTAATTTGTCAAGAACAAGTTCACTTTAAGTTCATCTAACACAGCAAAGTGCAACACATCAACCTTACTGGACACCTTATTTTAAACGTTTAATTCTGCCAAAGCTTAGAAACTACTCCCTCTGCATGAAGAAATTAGATATTTAACATGCATGGCAAAACACTTAGGTGCAGCAGACTAGAGTTTTTTGGCCGTAAGACTGATATTTCCAAGTCCAACAAGTGAAATTGTAACAATTCGTCAAGTAATGCAGTAGGAATGTACAAAGCATTCCAGCATTTCTTTATTATTTCTGGTGAAACGTTTTCCTGAGCAGACTATAAAATCCTCACCATGGACATGTACCAGCACAGTCACTTGTGGCCGCATGTGCACTGTGCAATCCACCTCCGTACTTCTAATAATGAAAATCTTCCAATTACCAGGGTTTGCTGTACTGAGGACAAACAGGCCATACTGTATATACCCATCAATTTGACCTGAGGCTAATACAGACCTGTGTGTTCATATACACTATATTGCCAAAAGTATTGGGACACCCCTCCAAATAATTGGATTCAGATGTTCCAATCACCTCCATGGCCACATTTTGGACAATTTCATGCTCCCAACTTTGTGGGAACAGTTTGGTGATGGCCCCTTCCTGTTCCATGACTGCGCACCAGTGCACAAAGAAAGGTCCATTAAAGACATGAATGAGCGAGTTTGGGGTGGGGGAACTTGACTGGCCTGCACATAGTCCTGATCTCAACCCAATAGAACACCTTTGGGATGAATTAGAGTGGGGACTGCGAGCCAGGCCTTCTCATCCAACATTAGTACCGGACCTCACAAATGGTCAAACATTCCCATAGACACGCTCCTAAACCTTGTGAATGCCTTTACAGAAGAGTTGAAGCTGTTATAGCTGCAAACAGTGGGCCAACTCAATATTGAACCCTACGGACTCAGACTGGGATGCCACTAAAGTTCATGTTCTTACATGCACATGAACAGGCGTCTCAATACTTTTGGCAATATAGTGCATTTATAAAAAGGCACCTCTCACACAAATTCTGACCCTGATTCTGATAGTTGTGGCAACTAATAAAACTGCTCTGGGCAATTTCTGCACTGTTTTTCCCAAAATATACATATCTATTTTGTATGTAGATTTATATAACTGTCCATGTTCTTGGCACAACTTGACAATGATTAGCACCACCTATACCTGCGCCAATCTATTATTTCCAGTGGCTGGAAGTTGGAGAGGGGACTCTATCTGGCATAACTTAACTTTTAACTGCATTTTTTTGCCAGTCTGTCCACTTTTCACCATTCATTGTTTACAATGACCAAACCAGCCATGACATCGCCCATATTTCTATCTTGACAGGAACTCTTAAAGATCAATAATTCTTTTGCTATGTGTTAATGTAAAGGGGGGGGGGAAACAAAACAAAAATTTGCTTCTGTTAGCAATTACAAAAAAGGGCACAAAAAACTCTGTTCTGGTGTCTTGTTACATGCTGGAGAACTAGATCACCTAACAATGATATTGGAGGAGAGATCTGTGCACAATACCCCAGTCACTTACACCGCCATAAAGTCTCATTCTACTGGGTTTATGATGGATGGGAAACATCTAAGGTATTGGGAGAAGGCAAAATAATACTAAAAAAAAAGCCAGGGGAGGATTTACTGGGTGTAATATGGAGGTAAACATGCTCACTGCATAATGCAAGCTGTTGTAACAGTGATTAGACTTTGCTGATCCTCCCTCAGTGAAAGCCTTTCAAGGGGCAGTGCTCCAAGCCAGTAAGAATCCAATGCTCTACCCAGGGTTTAGCAGCCTAACAATAAACACGCTTGCAGGATTGGAGAGCAAAAGGATGCTTGTGTCGGTGTGTGCTGCTCTATCACTATTCAATCACTGGCCAAGGTGAGTCCTAGATCAGGCTGGACTGCTCAACTGCAGTTTAAACCTGCAGAAAAGGCTCAGAGGAACCGTGCTGTCAGGTTATGGATGCTTAGATTACAAGACAGGTCACATCTAAGTACTGATCTAAGAAATACCTTTCTAAAAATTTTAAAATGATCACCGTACTGATCAATATTCCGATCTTCTATTGCCAAACATCGATCACAAAATGTGTCAAAATTGACAAAACACATTTGCTGTCTGTAATTCTCTTATGAATTCACATTAGCCACCATTTCTCCAACAACAACTAACAGGCCTTCCCTTCATATATTATGACCAATATTGCATTTACTGCCACAGACTGCCAGAAGCCATTTTAAAAATTGTGAATCTTTTTTTTATATCAACGACAATGGCTAGTGACTGTAGACAAATCTAAGCACATAAATAGACTTCTATTCAGGGCAAAGTTCAGGTTCCCTCGAGCAGAAAAATCCAAGATTCTGGAGGAACTGTAGGCCCAGTAGCATGTTCACGCACCGCTCACAATGTTGGGGTGGTTGTGCGTCATTTTCATTCATGTAAAAAATGTGTATAGCTCTGTATTATTTTTAATCCATGTATACAAACAAAGCCCAACGTAAGCAGAACAGCTGCCACAACAAAAGTGTAGTGGCGGAAAATCTTTATAATGAATGACAAACGTCCTGGGTATTATTAAACGTTAACAGCTGCGCCATACAGCATTTGTCTGGTACCTTCCAGAGAGAAAGACAAGCCTACTGGCAGAGAATATGAAAGCAGTTTCCCTTATTAGAATTGGGACAGAAATAGAAGACAGGCTCACCGTTCACATGGCGGCTGCTGCTGCTGCAATATTTTTATCAACAGTGAAAGCAAATAGCAGAGTGGAGAGAGATGTTTATTGCTAAATGTCTATGGAAGCAATCTGTGGAATTCTACTGATAACTTATAAATGCAAGAAAGCACATTACACAGAGAATTCAACTATTTCCAGTCAGGAGGGAGATCTGCAAGTAAAACATGTACACAGATCAGCCATAATAGGTAAAGTGAATTGCAGTGCAGTGTGATGCTTTGGGCAATGTTCTGCTGTGAAACCTTAGGTCCTGCCATTCATGTGGATGTTACTTTAACATGTACCACCTACCTAAACATTGTTGCTGACCAAGTACACCCCTTCATGGAAACTGTATTCCTTGATGGCAGTGGCCTCTTTCAGCAGGATAATGTGACCTGCTGCACTGCACAAATGATTCAAGAATGGTTTGAGGAACACGAGTTTTAGGTGTTCACATGGCCTCTAAATTCTGCAGATCTCAATCCAATCAAGCATCTGTGGGATGTGCTGGAAAACAAGTCTGCTCCATGGAGGCCCCATCTCACAACTTACAGGAATTAAAGGATCTGCGAGGGATCACTGCTGGTTTTTCTCTGGGGGCTAGAAAACAGAAGATATGCTGACCCGATCCTGAGTTCTGCGGTGGTCAGCACTCACCCCCTCTGTGTCCTTACGTCTAATACAGGTGAATGGACCTGCATTAAACATGATGAGATAATAGGTCCTTAGACCACCAGAGCCCAGGGGAGACGAGGCTGCTGGGACCGGTCTAGCAGGTAGGCGGGATCGAAGATCATGTCAGTAGCTTCTTTTATCCAACCACTAGAACAAAACGAGCAGTTAACCCCTGCAGTGCTGGGGTAGCCCCATTGCAAGTGTTAACTTTAATTCATGGAGTTCATTTTTTAAAGTGAAAATTTGTGTGATAATCTTGGTGGATTATCTTTTACATATAAAATAACAGAGAAAGGGTGATTGAAAATTCAGCTTTTTCATAAAACCTTTCGTGAATTTAAAAAAAAAAATGAAAAAAAATAATCAAATAATGCGTGGTGAATAATAAATACCTCATGCTTTAGGTCTTACTGAATTACCTCCACAAACTAAACTCAAATATATATTACCTTTTGGTGGAAAGTAAGATTTACTTTCTGCTTTATGAGGCCAATCTACGACCAAAGGTCCGAACCTCCTGAAGCTTGCCGTGATTTCATCTGGAAACAGGAAAATCATTGATAAAAAGAGAAATAAAAATACAAAAAGAGGAACAATCTTCAAGACAGATTATTACTATAAACTCCAATCTAAACACAAACTGTATATTCTAATTTGACCATGATGGCACATTAGATTATGTGCCCCAAATGTGAGATCTGTAATGATATTTAAGAACCTCATGGAGGAGTGTGGGTGGGACGAAGAGGTGGGGTTGCCAGGTCTCATCTGTTTAATGTAGTGCAATGTGCAGTAACAAAATCAGATTCATCTGCCATATTTACCAACAGTACAGTAAACGTTCCCAGAGGTTCTGCATTTTTCACTGCCTTAGTAAAACACTGAAAAGAGTCAAAGCAGTCTGAAAACAGCCTCTTCTATGGTTTCTGATGTTCATAATGTTCACATCTCAAAACAGAACCAATTCAAAGTTTAGTCTCTGTAGCTGTGGGACTGCTAGGATGCAAATTGGTTTATCACCTAAACCAAACAACTATAATAACTTCCGGCACTGCTGGACGATCATGCTAAGCTTGAGGAACTCATTCTTTGTCTGTGCCGGCCCCACTATGACTAACACAAAGCACAGGAAGTACATTTCCTAAAGGTTCCTTTGAGACTGTTTGTTTCTTTTTTAGCTACATCATGCTGAGAAAGATGAGTAGACACTCAGACTATTTGTAAATTCGTCAGGAGTGTTACAACCTAAATAGCTATCTACACAGGTGTTTTTTTTTTTTTACAAAAAGGTGGTGTTCTTATGTTGTGCGTTTCCACCTCCTACTGTCCTGTTACTGTAATGGGCAGCCTTACTGACCAATAGTAAAGCTTAGAAGACTGGAAGTAGGTGGGATCAGAATCCTAACTTATTAAATAAGTGTATATTAGAGCAAATTGATATTCTGGGTACCTGGAAGAGCCGGTTATATGCTGGCCATGCTAGGCTAAGTAAACATAGAATTTCCAGTTTGCTTTCAGGCTGAAAAAATATGTAGAGAAGACCAGCCCAACTACATTGGAAAAGTCAAATTGAAAGGCAGAAAGTTGCAGAAATGCCAAATAATTTCTCATCAAACTTAATACAAGGTTTTTACATATGCTCTGGAATACAGCTAAAGATTACAGCTTATTACTTTTCTGAATCTTTTATATCCATGTAAATGGAAAAGTAGGTCATGGATTTTTTCAAGAGAAAAAATACTTTAGAAGCTGTGCGCACAAAACTGCAGGCAGAGGGATAAGAAATAGTCACAAGTACTGCCTGTAGACTCCCAGAAGTGATTTTTCCCCCATTACACACTTACCATGTCTTTTTTTTGCATAGGGACTCTGCGTTAAGTTGGGCATCTTGTTAGAAGAAGACAAAAAACTGCTCACTGTTCTCCAACAAGGAGAACAGTGAGCAGCACAGTAGTAATATCACTAAATCTCACTTTACATCTCAGAAGACTAGCAAGTCAGAGGCAGCAGTGCCTTAAATCTCATGCCGTAGATATACAGCTATGAGTCTGTAGGCACAGGAATGCCTAGGCACCCTCACACACAGGACCAAAATTGGCACATCTATTTTCCATAAGGAATTCCAGACAAAAAAGGTACATTTTTCAGGGTTGTGATAAAGCACAATAAACAAATGTAGATGTTCCTCATAACATTGCAAAGCCTCACTTTTGAGTTCAAGTCCACTTTTTAAATGCTCGATGGCTCCAGATTTCTATGGCAATGTATCCATCCTTTATTCAAGAATTCAAACTATTTTTTGGAGTCATTATTAAAAGCACAGCCCTTTAAATTCCCAAAAAATTAATAGTTTTAGAAGAGTTAGGTCTGACCAAACATGACAAGAATGGGTTACCCATAGACCATCCAGGTTGATGCATGCGGTCTTCAAATGTAAGAACAGCTCAGACAAGAGCAACAATATTTATTTTTCCTAGTATTGCACAACAAAATGGCTGGATTGGTTGGCAATTCAAAAACCAAGTACCTTCATCAATGTCAGGAGGCAGCCCTCCAACAAACACCTTCCGAGAGTAGCGTTCGATCCGTTCACCATTTTGACAGTGAGTTGGAGAACTCAGACCAGATGACAAGGATTGGTCTCCATGACCATCACTGAGGAAGCCATCTTCAAATGGGAAGAGTGAAGATCGACCTGGAAGCAAGAGAAACTAAGGTCAATGCTCCAATAACTATATAAGAATTACTGGTATAGCAACAGGTTTGTTTTGTTCAGAAAGTTGTTTCACTTCTCATTTTCAGTTAAAATAAAACTCATTTTTGTTTTTAATTCTGAGGAAAGTAAGCGTTTAGATCTACTTCCCATAATCACATGGCGCAAATTCCCAACAAATATAGTCATATATATTTGTACAACACTTGTATTTAAAGAAGTGATTATTACAATATAATTCCTTATTTACATATTTATAACCATATAAAACAAAAAAAATCAGAATAGAAAAATTGTGGTGAGAACATAGTAAAAGAAAAAAAAATCAAACTGGCAAACGCCAATTATGGATGACATGATTGATTAATCTGAAACGCAGGAAATTATTCAGTACATACTCCTCTATACTACACTTGAAAACATGGACATGACAGTGCTGCTGCATTGGATTCAGGACCCCTAGACAGACACAATCAAGTGCTTGGAGCAGGCCTATTACACATGCTTTAAGATGGCTTTGCAATTTGTACACTCAGATGTACTGGACGGAGTGACCCATGGACGGATCCATCGCATTGGTGTAAAGCAAAAGACAGGGTAATGCAGAAACCAAGGCATGCTTGCAGTGTTATAAAATGATCTACAGTGCTGTAATTTTTGATTAGCTGCCCTGCTGAAGTCAACCAAATAAGATTCTTTTAAAATGCAGTAGAGTATATTTGAAAAATGCATGTCAATGCGCATTAACTCAGTTAGTAATGCTGCATATGTACTCGTGTGAATAAACCCTCAGGAAACAGTTCTCGAGCTAACTGCCATTACTTCTGCTAACAACAACACTTAAGGGCCCATTCACACCGCACGGCTGCTTGGTATGTGCTGCCCAGCATAGTGCTGATCAGGACACATCACATTGTTTACTGTTTTTTTTAAATATTAATAAAAATGTCACGTTACATTTTATTAAGTTCTAAGGGTACAGCACGGTGCATTGCGGTTGTACTGCGCTGCACACAACACAAAAAAAAGTACTGCATGCTGTACTTTTTTCAGTGCACAGCACTGCAACATAGTGGTATGAACTTAACCTATCTGAAACAAGGCAAATTGCCTTGTCTTGCGGTTGTGCTGGAAAAAACGGCCAGTGCAGCTGCAATGCATCTGGTGTGAATGGGCCCTTAAAGTGCACTACGGAAGCCCTCCGACAGGCCGACTGTCCAAATTTGTGAAGAAAGCCCTGGCTCAGAGTGAAGTCCACCCACCTGTCCCACTATATATGAAAGCAAAATAACTGGCTGCTAGGGCAAATGTTAATCTTATTTAAACAAAATCGTATTTTGTTTGCAGAGTCCAGAATTACATATGTACAAGGAGCAACCATGCTTGTTCATTAGGCAGCCTCCTCTCTGCAATTCTTTATCTCTAAATGCAAGTCAACCATGATTATAATAATGCATTTGCCATGTTCATTTCAGCAATGCGTCAACGTATACCCTGCTGGATATAACTATATCCACTAGAGGGAGCCTATGGAAAAAAAAGACTTCTAAAACAGCTCATAAATGTGATTCAATATGTGAAAGACACTGCAATCATTGCTAAAATTATATACTCAACTAAACTACACTGTTAGTTGTAACTCTTGTTCATGAAACATTATTTCTCTATTATATGGGGTTTACAAACAACTGCTCTACTTTTTTACAGCTTTACTTGCAGCAGTCTACAGAACAGTTCTAATGCAGATCATGTAAACTTGCCCCACTGTCCACAAGGTCCATCATTTCAATGAAAATGGTTTGGTTTCTTTTTGTTTTAATGTGAAAGATCTACCAATATTGTAATATACAGTATTAAAAGAACTGCACTTTTTGTGTTTTGTTTTTTGGAGCAATAGTTAGACCTTGATCTGCCACACAAACTATAACTGGGTACCTTAGACCTCAGCAAAGCCTTTTCTACAGTACCCAGACTGCATTGGGGTGGTGGTATACTGCAAAAGTAACAGAGGGGGTCAGTGTCAGGCTGGCTATTTCTCACTATAAGCCGTACAAACAGACCCCCCCACCACCACCACCTCCCAACCCTCTAGTTTGCTGTCAAACTCTTATGAATGAAGCATCAGCATTGGGGCTTGTAAACACAGACTGCCAAGGAAAGACTTTGCTATAGTACACCCCTGCCCTCAATTTTGAACACAATGGTTGTCGTGTAAAAATAAAATCTTTGAAATGAGAAATCCATTCAAGTGGACCTAATGCCACAGAAGCACTAAGCTTTTTCCAGGCCCCCACACCCTGTTCAAATAAAAAGGTTTTATATACACACACAGGAAAGTTTCATACACTGACAGGAGGCATGTGTATACAAAGCCAATGATTGTTTTTTTAGGCCGAGCCACAGTCCTGTGATTTACCCTCTTGCTAGGAAACCCTGCTTTGTACACCCTTCTGAAACTAATTTCATTGCGTTACTATGGGCCTGACTTCCTTGACTTGGAGACTAACTGCCACCCGCCTACAAGCAGCCGGCCCAATGAAATAGTGGCCAATAAGGGTGGAAAGACGACTGGCAGGTTGGCAGGGTTCAGCTTTGACTGATAAGGGAAGTTAAGTGGTTAGTACCAAAGTAAAGTAGTTTCAGAGGAGCACACAAAGAGTTTTCTAGCCTAAAGCATGAATAGAAGGCACATATTCTGGAGTCCACTGTTAGGCTGGATGTTCATTCTATAAGTTTTTGGCCAGTGAGGATCACTCATGAGCCATCAGTGGCATAACGATAGCCATAGCAGCCCACGCAGCTCCAATGGGGCCTGTGGTAGGAGGAGTTCCCTTTACGGGGGCCGATTAAAAAAACTAAACTGAGAGGTTTCCAGTATAGAAGAGCTGAAGTCAGACCTCAGTATGGTCTAGTCACAGATCCCTCTATACAGTAAGAAGCATTTGCTTATCTATCTTAGCAGGGTGGATTTTTTTTGTTTTTTGCCCTCTGGACTTCTACGGACTGAAATTAACCCCATATGTCTAATGCAGCCACAAATCCCAAAGTTCTTCCTCTGCTAGGGCTGAGGTTTGTGATCCTACAAAAAAAAGTTTAATGAAGCCGGAGTTTTAAAAGGTTTGTATTGGGGATGAAGAGAGTAAGTGTGTGCAAGAGCATTATTCATTTTATTATAATATAAAATATAATTGTGGTTATTTTTATTTGTGCTACTAGGGATGCACCGATACTAGTATCAGTATCGCTGCCGATATAGAGTATTGCTCCGACACAGGCACTTCTGTTCAGAGGGAGATTTCATCTGACGGGTAGTGCCACAAGGGAACATGGAGCCAGCTTCCTGGACAATCAGGAAGCTACCGGCTGCCCGGGAAGCCACCTCCATGCTAACGGAAGTACCTGCATCGGTTTGCGGTATCGGCGAGTACCAAAAGATAAATATCGGTACTCTTACTTGGTACCGAGAAAAACAGTATCAGTGCATCCCTAAGTGTTTCTATAACTTTTACCCCAGCACGGATCCCGAGTAGTGTACAGACAATGCTGACAGCTCTCCTGCTTTTTGCCCTTGATACATACTTCATGTGAACATCAAACACACATTGTCACAACTAAAACTGCCTGCCGCTACAGAGAGTTAGCTGGGGGACCCCAATATGTAGTTTTATTCTATACATTAAACTCCCCATTATCCAGCATTCAAGCAACAGGCAAAAAAAGTAAAGCAGCAGCAGAAAGTAAACAATGGGGAGCAATATGAAATGGCCATTAGCAGTCTGGCTATTGCTCCCCCCACTGCTGCTTACATTGCTGTTGGCTGCGAGATCTAGCCGGCAGATGAATGGGGCTGCGAGGGTGGCACCATGGGGGGGCTGCTTAAGAGTTACTATTAACTCTCAAGCAACCAGAAACCACAGTTATTCAGCATTTACTGATCCGCATAGGCGCCGGATAACTGGGAGTTTACTGTATTATAGTGTTGTATCAATTCTAATACGGTAATTATAGTTCATGGTCTGCCCTTAGACAGAAGTTTTACTTTTTAAAAATGTAAAATAGCTGGCTAGGTTTACTCATACGTAAATTGTGCCACAAGAGATAAGAAGTGGGGGATCACAGAAATTTGTTTTGAAACAAGTTTAATGTTATGAGCAAAATAATAAATCAAAAAAAAAAAAAAATCACAAAGACAGGATTTAATTTTATTTTCTAAAATCAACACTAAAACAAGCAAGTGGTTTAAAGCCAAAAGTTAGAGGATCACTGGTAAAATGTGTAAATTAAAAGGGTCTTAAAATCTAAAACACACGCTGACTCACATTAAGGAGCTATTGACCACATTCACATATACATATGTTAAGGTGCCATTAACTGAAGGAAAATGTCATTTCCCATTGCATTAACGTTTCTCTTTTATGTTGTCAACTATTTCAGACTAGGGAAAGGCTGACTGCAGTGCGCTCTGACTAGATAACTGGACAGAACGTCAGCCATGCTTATGTAAAGGAGTATAAAATATGCAAGTATAACTCATAACTCTTTTATAAGCAAACGTGCGTTTTAGATTTACCGGTCCTTTCATTCTCATAAAATTCAAACAACTAAAACAATTTTTATAAATTAAAAAAAAAAATTATTATTAGGAGGTCATTTATAGCAACACCCAAAAATAGCTTGATTTATTTCTGACCTAAAAATTTAGCAAGCAAAACACCCAAAAAAGTCTCAATGTATTTACCTCGTCTGCGACCATAGCTCCTGGCTGCATGAAAACAGAGAAATAGTTGGAAAAATTAAAAAACATACATAGACACATAATAATGTTCCGGATTTGCATATCTTTTTGCTTAAGGTTCTGACTACAGAAGAGATCTTTGCAAAGCTACAGTTACAATGAGTCATACTACGACTTTCAATAAGCTAGCTAAGGATCTTAAAGCAAACCTGTGGGTTAGATATGCTTGCTAAACCAGCCAAGGGATCATAGTGTAAGCACATTCAGGTGCTGCATGCACACTTTGCTCATTTGCAAAGTGCCTGAACACCCCCAAAAAACCTGGAGGGTCATGCAAACAGTGAGCAAGTCTCTCATGGACCAATCTTCAGCCATTTTCTGGTCAAATCAATCGACCAGGAAGATCCCCCCCTACCCCCTTTACACATTGTGGCCAACAGGGGAGAAGAGAAAATGGGCTTGGGTGGTCCACAATTCAATCATTAGAGCTCTGGTCTATGTTTGAATAAAACATCCTACCTAGCATTTTGGGGGTGCCAAAGCCACAAGTGTGCAGGAACCTGTATGTGCTTGCAGTTAATATCCGGTTGTCAGTTTAGTAGAGTGCAGGTAAAGGGGAGAACTAAGGCAGCTGTCCAAGACCCCAAAAGGCCAAACAGTCACATCTTTTGTTCGGTTTCTCAATGCTTATTAATCAAGGCCCTGAAATGGAGGTTTGAATGTTTCTTTAAAAGTTCTGCTTGTAACTTTATCAGGGCTCTTGAAATATTTCATCTTTCTCCCAGCAGCCTATTCTGAACGGATGTGTAGGAATTTCTACAAGTGTGGTCCCCAGCTGCCATTTTGGATAGGTCCATGAACTAATTTTATGTAAGCTGAAGTATACAATTAGATTATTAGAGGCTAGCACAGTTGTTTTATAAATGGCATTATATACATACAGATCCCCTGTATACTAAAACCAATTACTATTCTTCTAAATATCAAAAGGCTGGACTTCTACATTTACTGATGCCAACAGAGTGAAAACATATTTAGTTTTAATGAGATCGCTCAAACTACGCCGTGAGGTTACCTAAAAATGGTAGACTCTATACAGGCACAAATAAAATTAGGGTTAAAGTCTAGGATCAGTTTCCTAAAGTAAACCTTAAGATGCCCCAAACACATACTGTTAAGTAACTCTTTACTGCAAAAAATATGTCCAAAGTGGCTTTATACTTGCGGTATAGAGCAAACATGATCGCAGCACACCAATGTTAAATGTTTCAAAGCACTATTCAAGCTAGGCTGGACAGGGCCCATGCCTCGATCTCTAACGAATCCTGTAAGAGTAAATCATCCTTTGCACAAGATAAAAGATGACTCTAGTAAGAGTCAGTGGGAAGCATCAGATGTGAAGGGACTGCAGAGTTTCCACTCATTAAGCATTCTGCAGAATGTTAGACTTGGCCTTGGCCTGAAGCTATATTTTTCTGTAATTATTATTATTATACAGGGTTTATAAAGCGCCAAAAGTTTGGGCAGTGCTTTACAATATAAGGAAGACATTACAAACACAATACAATTCAAGACAAGATGGCAAGGAGGGCCCTGCCTGTGACAGCTTACAATCTAAAAGGGAGGGGGAAGTGATACATGAGGAGGTAGCTGTGTGGGGATGAATTGTTTGCGAATGTGATGGCTGAGCGGTAAGGTTGAGGCGGGATAGGCTTCCCTGAAGAAAGGAGTCTTTAGGGAATGCCTAAAGGCAGTCAAGGTGGGCGACAGACGGACAGGTTGGGGTAAAGAGTTCCAGAGGATGGGAGAGACTCTAGAGAAGTCCTGAAGGCGAGCATGGGAGGAGTTGACAAGGAAGCTGGAAAGCAGGAGGTCTTGGGATGAGCGGAGCCGACGGTTAGGGTGATACTTTGAGACCAGGTTTAAGATATAGTCGGGGCAGAGTTGTGGATGGCTTTGTAAGTGATTGTTAATATTTTGTATTTTATCTTTTTGGGCGAGTGGAAGCCAGTGCAGGGATTAATACCACACTGAAAATAACACATTGAAAAAGAATAAAATGTTAAATTCCAAATCAGAATCTATATTTTTTCTGGTTTTAGTTACTTCACACATCTATATTTGAAAAATTGATAAAATAGGACAATTTACCAGTAAGTTAAAGAAGTAGTTATCAATGATGACTTCAAATCTATCTCAACATGTTTGAGCATTTGAATGAGACAGTATACAGTATAGGAGGGTTCTTATAAGGGTGAACTCTACTTTTCAGTATGCATACAAGAGGACTATGCAGAAGATCAAATATCAGAGTAATTGTAATGTAGTAATAAAGCCTGACCCTGTAAACAAGGAGGATAGAGGAAATCTATATTGTACCCAAGTCCTCAAGTGAGCAGATTCACATTGTACCTGGGTCCAGAAGTGAGCAGATTGTATTTGTACCTGGGTCCAGAAGTGATTATGGTTTTAAAGACAGACACTAGCTCTATGTGTCTTCATAATGTATGCCAATTACCAGGGCCGGATTTACTCTTCCTGCTGCCCCAAGGCCAGGTTCTGCAATGCGCCCCC